GGTCTTGAATATTGTAGTCGCCTGAGATGAGGTCATGGTTGTATCTTCGTCGCAGGACGCCTTTCTCATGCACAACGTTAATCGGGAGTCCATCACCAGGGTGAATATTAGAGGACAATAAACAACTGTCACATGGCAGGTGTCGTTCCTTCACAGACGCAACCTACACCACATTGATTGGCGTTTCTAGTTCCTCCATCTATTTACCTGCAGATTGGTGCTAAAGTAAAAAAATTGCCCCGTCACACTTGCTGCGATATCGTTTCATACAAAGTACATACCATGTATATCGACGTCTGCGTTGACAATTTCTAAGTGCAATCAATTTGAAAGAATGGAGATGATTTTCAGTTCGTATGATATTTGACGTAGGTGCAATTCTGCAAACTTCTTTGCCAGATCGTGTGGATTGCTTCAAATAAAAGAAAGTTTCGTAAATCTCAGTATTGAGCCGAAGGATATATGCTGCATGGTAATGTTACACCGACCGATGACTTGTTAGCCACTAATCACATGTTGTGTGAGGCAGTGAAGAACTTATTTGTGTCAAATCCAGGGATCCCGCCACTTTCGAATTATTCATGGGTTTGAACGTTACGTGGAGGTTATGTCCACAATTTTTGTTAGTCAGATAAGAAATCTTACCTGATCTTTTGTCCAGAAGTAGTTCAATAAGTTTGCAGCTCTCGGAAGTCTGTTTAGGTGACACCGCTGTGAGCCGGAAGGCAGAAGGATGTCTGCAGCGCTTGATATGGAAGCACTCCAAAACCGTTGTTGACGTCTGTCTGGATTAAACTACCACGTTTACAATCCTTAAGCCATATCCTTCGTAAGTTGAAGATCAACGCAGTATCAAGTTCGATTGCGCTATGACATTTTACAAGGAGTGTCTCACAAAAGTAGAGCTAATGCTGCTGGTCAAGAGTTGTCGTTTTCTCGCTCCTCTTAACCCCCAGCCCCGGGAACACCATGATTAATGATGGTCTTGAATACGGATTCCTTGCGGTATTTTTAAAACTCGTACATTGCCTATTTAATCCCGCTCCACGGAATATAAGGGACGATGCGGTTGAAACATGAATTATTCCGTAGACATGCTGTTAATTGCAGCATTGCTTCTGCTTCGTCAGCGAGAGACAGTAAAACCCGAAATCTCCGTTCTACGTACGGTTTTGAGTTTAAGTGACAAGTCACCCTCATCACCTCCTGGATTAGACACAACACAGATGAAGTTTCACTAATTCACGTCGTCAAAATGCCTTCCTTTTGTGATTTGATGTCTATTCTAGGGCGATATTTCGGACATCTGATGATAAAATAGTGGGACCTTATGATCATTTTTTAGCTTTGTTTAGATTAGCCTACCTGGAGATTGTATGCGTCTGTTGTGGCTATGTAATTGCAGGTTCGTCCCCTTTATTTAATTGGGTTTCAGTAAGAGTAACTGAATACCTAAGTTCCCGGGTGACTTTGGTAACAACCAAGATTCACTCAACACCCTAATCAAGGCACTGCTGAGAACTCGGTACAGTTCGAAGGGTCAGTGAGGTCCTGATCATACTTATTCCAAGAGAATAAAGATGGCCCTTTCAGTCTTATTGATGCACTATTGATACTAACATACTGACTGAGGTACAAAACCACTGGTGATGCAATTTTTACGCTCTGCTTAACCGTAGTTATAATGCTCGAGGAGAGGCCTATGGGAGAGGACCAGGGCCCACTGTATCTTGCTTCTTTTACTAAAGTAGTTTGGGATCTCACGTTTATTCAAACGTCTTCAATAATTCTTTGCATTTATGAGACAGCTCGTGTACATCCTAGACAAGTAGAATGATCATCCTTGTTGGACACAAGCATAGAGAACTTGACCTATCACTGAACAGCTTATGAAACCAATGCTGGAAATTGTTATTGAATGTAGAACAATATGTTCCTGTTATCCAATTTTCTGTCATGGATTAGGCTTACATAATTTATGTATATTTTTAACTCTATGCTAGACTACCTCGCGTCTCACTCTGTGGGTTAATGCATATCCGGTCATTGGCTGCGCAATTTACTCAACACATGCTCAGCTTGCGTGCGTGTCAGTTTATCTACTACACATTTAATTGATTGTGATCTGTGTCAGCATGCCCTTATCACCTTGCGATTTGTCATCGAGCTGTAAGGAGCAGTTCTGAGCGACCGAATCGTAAACCAAGAATCCTTGTGAGCTGAAAACGAAACGACTAAGCAATAACTGGCACAAAATGCTCGATAGCTTCTCCACTTACCGGTCAGCATCTGTGATTAATGATTCTGCTTATAGGTCTCTAATTTGATTTTCCTTTTAAGGCCGCAAATGTTGCAGTGCCATCAGGGACTTGGAGATTATCACGTGTTCCCACGAAACGAGGATGAGGTATACGATGTGGGTTTAAAAGTTTATGCACATAAGTCAGCTACAAAGAATAAAGTAAGATAAAGTGCGCCGATTTAGCTAGATCTAAAGAGAGTAGCCACAGTCTTGGGCTCTAAGGATTGCGAGAGTAAGTCCTGGCTGAGTGATATTGTAGTGGGAATACGGTCGCATTTAAAATGCTTGGTAGCAGCCATATTCATGAGAGAGGCTGTTAAGGTTTTTCATGTTTTAAAGAAAACCATAAAAGTCTGGCGAGTAAATAGATAGGTAAATTATCACTTAAAGTAAATTCAATTAAGGCGCATTCTGTTAACCATTTGACTTTTGACAAACTGCGCAGCAGGGCCTGTCCTGGAACTTTTGGCCATTTTGTCCGTGACAATATTTAATTGTGACCTCATGAAATTATCAACGAATATATTAATAAGTTCAAGCAGTAAAACTGCTGCTGAAAAGTTAACTAAACCCTAAGCGCAAGAAAAGCAAACTGGTATAATCATTTATGCTCTACCTATAGTACAGAAGCAAGGGGAAGTCTGTCGACGTGATATTCATCGATTTCAGTAAAGCGTTCGACAAGGTCAGCCATAAGGATCTCCTTCATAAACTCGGGATGTGTGGGTTCGGCTTCTCACTGCACCGGTGGATCCACGACTTTTTTGTTGAACGAAAGTGGAGGGTACATTTTGACGACCATCTAACTGACTGGTATCCCTCTACAAGTGGCGTGCCTCAGGGCACTGTGCTGGGGCCCACTCTGTTCCTGATCCACATCAACGATCCACCTCAGCTTCTCCAGTCGCTATGTGTCTTGTTTGCGGACGACATGAAGATTTGGAGAGAAATTGACGCTCTCGACGACTGTGGCGTACTTCAACAAGAAGATCTCAGCCGCCTATCCACATGGTCCGCAGAGGTTCATCTTTAGGTCAACCCAGTCAAGTCTGTGGTTATGTGCCTGGGGAAGCGTACTGACGGCCGAACCAATAACCTTGACGGCCAACCGCTATATCCTACACCCTCCGTGAAGTACCTAGGTGTACTGTCCTGCTACGATTTGAAATCCGTGAACAGCACGAATAGACTAAATGGTAACAGACTGTGCATGCTTCGGGCGCTCAAATGTAGCTTCGGTAAATGGACTGAAGTGGTTGTCACTCGCCTCTTCTCTTCCATCATTAGACAAATGTTAGAGTACGGTTCGCCTGTCTACGTTCCGATTACCCGAGGCGAGGCACAAATGATCCAACGGGTCTAGCATGTTGCTACCAGGCTCATCCCGAGTTTACTTGACTTGGAGTGTGAAAACCTTTGCCAGAAACTAGGACTCTACACCTTGTCCTACCGTCGGATGCTAGTCGACCTCATTATGACCTACCGTATTCTATATCTTGATGACTTCCCCATGCTGTTGCCAATGCTGCAATTACGAAGGTCATGCAGCAAACGCGGACACAGACACAAACTTGTCGTGCAGGATGTGAAATGTGTTCCCCACCCACAGTGCTTCGGAAGGAGAGTGGTAAATATTTGGAAGTTTGCATGAACATGTGATGGAGGCACCAACTGGGCAGCAGCTCAAAACGTTAGGTTTATATTTTACCACTATTCGATTCAGAGAACGATTGCACACTTACGATTATATGCCATATTTGTGAGTCCTGCAATACCATGAGTCCGATATTTTAAATGTTACATGAGAACGATAACGATATTCACGGCTGACTATTTTTATAAGCTTTTTCACCATTTGTCGAAGGAGTTGTACAGAATACATTTCTACTTGCTCTATAATACAGTTTCAGTATTCAGTACATAATTTCCAAAAATACTGGCAGATTCAAGCTACAATGTTGAATTTGATTTACTGAGTTTTTTCTTCATAACGCTGTATATTATACTGCTGCGTATTTATTTGTACACGTTAAATATGCATGGATAAGATAAACAAACATTGTGCCTTGTAACCTCTTGAACTGACGTTCATCTATTTGCTTATAATCTTCTTAAGAAATTCGTACCAGTTGGGCCTCCCAACCTGGAAAATTTGTTCTATAACTTTTTTTAAAATTTAGCGTGTGCGTTGTTATAACCTAGCATAAATTGAACTCGTATCTTAAACTGAAGAAGAAGCCGTTACTTGTTGATTTAACCAAGCAGATTAAATACGACAATCAATATTACAATTTCATTAATAAAATTTAACAAATGTTAAAACAAAACCACACTTTTTCAATTTTTGTTCAAAATAAAATAACAACATATAAGTTGAGTGAAACAACTTGAGGGATTATTTGAATTATTGAAATTATAAAGCAATGATATTTGCCTTGCAGCATGCCGTACTTTCGTAGCTAATGCTATTTATTGTCCTCAGCCAAAGGTATATACCAAACATTTACCGATTTAGAGCTTGAGAAATGTATCGTTTTGATGATATGATTATAAGCTAAATTGAGTGCCACCCCAAATATCATTTAAAAATTTGACAACTAGAATAAGAGATCAAAAATAGTTGCACGGTTAGAGTAAGTCGCAACCCGGACATAAGGCTTAACAATCCAGATGTGAAAAGTTTCTTATGCTTTTACAGAAAAACCCCAATTCCTTCAGTCCGTCGTGTCCCTGGAGTTGGATGATGATTTGTACAACAACACCGAGTCCAACACAGACACAATATGCTTATCTGACCTGACTGCTCCGAAAGTAAGTTGGTACAATTTCATAATCCTAGTTTCCATCAAAATAAACACATTCACTTACAAACGTCGTCTAGCGAACAGCATGACTGACACAAACATTCCCGACAAACTCTTACTAGATAGATGGAAAACAATTAAAAACGCGAGGTGTTTCGTATGTTTGTAATGACATGTAATATAACCAGAGAGCTCTTCCAAGACGGTAAATAAAGTTTATAGGCAATTTGGACAATTTTGGTTAAGTGATTATAATAGCAACTTGTGGCTGCTGTAAATATTTCACATGTGTTTTTATGCACTTTACCTACGAATCTGTTAACCTGACAAGCAGCAAAATTCACTTAGTAAAATCAATAAAACATTTGAATGGTATAAATGTAATGAATGTATCTCAGCAGTAAGACGTTATTCAGGCTATCATGTACATACAGTATTAGTGATTTTGGCCCAAAATCGTTTTACAGAGAGAAATACACCGATGTGGTCTCTTTCCGAATCTGCACAATTTGAAGCGGCACAAGCTCAACTATATGGATAACATACGCACGAAACTATCGGAGCTGGAAACATTCATCTCACAACGGTTGCATGCTGTCGTAGGCATATCGGAAGAGCTACGAAAGCTTTTTGAAGCATACGTAGAACAGCATAGAAGGCAAAGGGATGCACAGAAAAAGAAAAAATTGCTTAGCTCGCTAAATAGCCAAGTGCCGCAACTGAAAATTCCGAGTAATCCGGAGCAGTACGTGTTTAATCTTTCTAGTATCGTACTGAGCCCAACACAACTAAAAGGTTTTATCATTAGGCCCCGCGTTTTGCATTCTTTGTAAAAATATTGATCAGGCTGCATTAGAGGTGCAGTTTGAGAGCTTAATAGTGCAGGCACGACCTGTCACCAAATTCGCCAGGGAACGCTGAAAACATGTTTTCCAGCTTAGTAAACACCTGTCATGATTACATTAAATTAGACCAGCCAGTATCGGTATTCTTACAAGTGAACATATGCAGCCACTTAAAGAGTTATGACTAAATAATGTGTTAATTATCTCTAAGCCGGACAATGTTTCTGGTATACTTCTAATGAATAGAATGGATTATGTCAGTAAGAATCAACATATCCGTAGTGATGAAGGTAGTTTCACAAGCTAACAGTAGAAAAGGATAACAAAAGAGTTAGGGAAACAACTGGCTGATTTGCTCCGATGAATTGTGAAAGCGTATATTATCACAAAGTGCGAATTTGGAAGGCTGGGACTTTCAGGCGGACATCTACCACGATTGTACGTCCTCCCTAAAGTTCACAAGGAGGGAGCTCCAATGCGTCCCATACTGGACATGGTTAGCTATCCGCAAAATTTGTGAGCTCAATAGATGGTTGAGAAGCTGGAACCGCTGCGTAAATTCTTCTGTACCTACTGCGCGAAAATAAACTTTCGAGTTCATCGAGAAGCTAAGCGCCGTGAACCTTAACAACAAATGGATGTAATCATTTGATGCACAGTCGTTGTTTATGAATATTTTGTTGTTGAAAACAGTGTAATATTTTTACACTATTGCGGCTACTGAATGGACCTATGAATCTCCCGGAAAACCTTCTGAAGGAATTGTTACTCAGATGCACCTTAAATGTGCAGTTCGCCTTCAATGTGGAGATGTAATGTCAAATTGATGGAGTTGCCATTGGACCACCATTGGAACCCATTCTAGCGGATGTCTTTATTTCAAAATTGGAGCAGAACGCATTAAGAACGCATATCAACGAATTCGAGATGTATATAGGTTCTGTGGACGACACATTTATATGCTGCAATATGAAAGCGCAGGCTGTGAAACTGTTGGGAGCCTTTAATGATGCGTATCAGAAGCTACAATTCACATGTGAGCAAGAGTCTAAAAACAGACTACCGTACTTGGACGCTGATTTCGTCAGAAACCTCGATGGATAGTGCGTCAGAGCAATGCATGGAAACCATCTCGGACTAGACAGTACACTAACTTCCATAGTGCGGTACCCCTACAGTACCAACGAAATCTGGTCCGCACTCGTGCTTTCCGGGCACACAACATTTGCACAGCGAACACAATGACCAAACATTTGAGCAGGATCGATGACGCCCTAAGAGTGAATGGTATTCAGATAAATTCATTCTCAAACATTTGAAAGAACGCAAGATAAAACCACCGAGGATTAACGTACCCAAGGTAGAACTAATTGTGCATTTTCCTTTCAAAGGCAACGGTGCGGCTCATGCCCTTTCCAAACGACTGAAAGACGCTGTCGCAAAGACTTATTTCGCGGCTCGCTTACGCATAGTATTTTACAACAAGCCTTTATTCGCAAAACCTTTGAAAGTCAGGTTGCTTCCGATGACTCCATCAATGCTTGTTTATCTTTACTCGTGCTTCTGTGGTGCACGATGCCTAGGTCACACCATGAGGCGTCTATCTCAGAGGATTCGCGAACACATCCCGAGGTAGTTTTACAAAGGCGAACCGAGGTCTACTAACAGCTCCATCCTGTCGCACCTTCGAGAGTGCGGTCACGCAGGGAGGGAAAACGCTTTCAGAGTCATTTTTAATATCCCTGAACGTTTCTCGCGCGGATTCCGGAAACATCCTCTATCTATAGCGGAAGCTATCTGTATCCGCCACTTCAAGCCAGAATTGTGCGTACCAAAACAGTTGATACGTCCTTTACTTCTACCGTCGCCTATAACTTCTGCAGTGATTTCCTTTGTACATAATTTGCAACCGTAACGATCCCGTGATTTATTGGTTTGTTCCTGTTGGAAGTAAATATTCTGATCAATACGCAGCTTAATCCGGCACATTTAGCACTTTGTCATCACCATGTAATGTTCGAGTCTGATGAGAATTACCAAAAAGAATTCTTTAATCAGATTCTTCCTCCCTTGATTCAGTTTCCGGTTTCATTAGAAAAACGAAGGGGTATATTTGTGAGACTTCGTTTAGTTTTGGTTGGTACGCTAGAAGAGGCTCGCTAGACGAGAAGCTGTTGTGAAGTTATCGACTTATTCACTGTGGGATATTTTTCATTAATAGACGTAGCAGGGAAATTGCACGTGGGGCACAAGGTATACTATCACACATTACTGATTTTGGTCGCTATCCACGGAAGTTTACCAAACTAAGAACAGGATAATCAGCATACCAGTGTGATGTTTTCCTTATCACGAATGTGACAATGTGAGTGTTTTTACTAAAAGCGCAATACCTTCGCAGTGTAAGATCTCCAGCTAATGCTTACCGGAGGATTAATAAATTATTTACTGGTTTGGAAGCTTTCAGTGCGGCTCCCTCCGATCCCTGCACTCCATGCCCGACGGTTTCATCCTGGTTGGGACTAATCAGATAGATATAGCCGAGCTGGGAGGGGAACTAGGCGCATAGCGATCGGCGGCTATCGCCATGATCAGTATGTCATTGAGCTCCGCGAGAAGTGCTTAAAACAGTGGTTAGGAGGTAGTTTTGGAGGTTTTGGAATACCCGCCCTGTGTCTTGGATTGCTACACGCATGCCCAGTTGTGGCCTCGGTTGACGTTGAAGTCATCTTCTGTCGATACGATCACTGGGACCTTCACCGAAGTGGGGGGTTCCGGTGTGGCTCTGTCATATCCCTGTACTCCAAGACCGATGGGTTCGACCTGGTTTGGACTCCTCAGGTAGAGATAGCCGAGCTGAGAGTCAAGCTTCGCGCATAGTGATAAATTTCTCCTCTGTGCGAGGCAAGTTTCGGCTGTGTGGTCTGGCCAATTATTTTTAATGTTTTTATGTCTTTAGACTTTCATTTGTTAAGGTGAATATAATCAGACCGTCCTGGTGTTGTATAATCTGTACCAGACATTTTTAACGGCTGAGAAAGCCGTGCAAACTCACTCAAAGCTTGAATACTAGGAATTGCAGTCAAGTTCGGTCTGTCTGGAGGCTTTTTATTATGCTTTTTCACCGAAGGCATATACACATATTAATGATTTTCTTAAGCTGTTGTTTTAACATATTTATTGGATTTGTTTTAAAATAATTGCCATACATGCGATTCAGGTAACACGTAAGGAACTTGTCAAATCGAAATAAAAATTAGCTTTAAAGCAGCGTTAAGTGCCTAACCATTTACTTGATAAATGTAGACCGATTAAAGTGATGTCTTTAGGTAAACTGCTTATGTCTCACTGCGTTAGTAAGTGTCTATTGAAAAGTCTTGTTTCAAGTCGGACCGCATATACCAGCAAACTATGTGTTAGAAGTTAGGTCAAATTGTTTATATGATGCCCCCATTCTACCCATGTAAATTCAATGCACGACCCAAACGCAAGCAACTCTCATTTGCAAAACGCCGATTTATAGAAAGCTTCGATAGGAAACAACATAATTGCACCTCTTATGGACTTAAAAACACATGAAAACTACCTATATTCGCCTAAACTAAAGCCCACTCTCACCCTTTCATTACTAGACCCACGACCGTAACAACGAATAAATTCATCTTCATTAACATTCATAACCCTTGCCTCTGTATACTTCGGATAATGTTCTTCTTTAAACTATCATATTTTTCCACTAGTTAATCCAACTTCGGGTGACAACATGAGTTAAGAACAATTAAGTTACTAAGATTTCTGCTTTATGGAATCCAAGAGAATGTCGAGTTACCAAAACTCGATTGTTTTAATGAATACAAGCACTAAACCATATAAAGAAGATTCTCACCTAGCCCACTTTTATTCATTCCAACCTTATCATTACTCCGAAATCCGCCATTAACTAGATTTTCTCTTCTCTACCCAAACTGGGTATGCTCTCAATGGTTATGTTTCTGTAGCACCTGAAAATGATTATGATCAGTTGTTCAAGATCGACCTTAAAATCTCATGCAGCTTAAGTATGATCTAACAGTCATAAATATAAAGCATTGTTTATTTAGTCTACAAATTCAGCTGCACATCTAACAAGAGCATAAAAGGATTGAACAAAACCAAAGGTTTAGTATCCGTGAGTTAAAATCACACTGTACTCTTGCAATGCAAAGCCGCATTTAGCAAAGTGGGTGTCATTCAATTCTAAATACCATAGCTAAAAAGCACCTAAATAAGCTTTCAGAACCAAAACCTCTTTAGATTTCATTAATCCAGACCAAAATACGTACGTCACTCTGTAGATGCGAGTTAACCAAACAGAAACCCCTAATTGAGTTGTATTAATACGTTGACATTTACCTAAGGAGTTCTAGTCTAGAAATATTTTAATAGCTAAATAGGTCGAATTTCTTTCAAAGCAACTAGCTCCTGTGATGTCCGATTCGCCTCATTACCATATACTTCATTTTCAGCTTGGGCAATTTCGTTAAACTTAGCTACATAATGTATGTATGAATGTTGCAATTCGTTGTAAATCTTTGCAGCCTACATTAGAAAATATCTTTACAAGGGCCCCATGAAAACTCCATCTCAAACTTTAATCTGTGTTGCGGATAACAATTGACACCATTTTCTTATAACACTAAACCTCCTCCAACCAGAAGCATTCAAATAAATGGAAGTTTGCATTAAAAAGCTTTGAGGTAGCACTAAAGAATTGTTCCAGCAAATATCACACCACCTAGCAATAATTTAAGATGTGCAAAGCAAAATCACAATTTTGTCGCACTTAAGAATTCTAAAAGATTGACAATTTACAAATATGTGCATATATTAAAGTATATATGCATTGAAACAGCCACATTGAGTAGTTCAAACGATCCGTTCTTTCACAATAATTGGTTTCATAGCAACTGCCAAATCATACCTTATATCAGATTCATTGCTGATTCAAGGTCTCTTAGCGCACGGACTGCTTTGATGATATGCCTGATTCCCGCTTCATAAGTGTTTGGAACTATTGAATTTAGTTGCGTTGGAAGGTAATAATTCCATGGTAGGTATTACTGTTTTAACAAAGTTGGATATAAACATTTTACTCCATTTCAGAACAGATGCACTTGTTTCACTATCAACTGCTTACGCTCTCAAAAAAAGACTTTGCGGGGGCTCCCCGAATCTCCCACAGACAAAATACTCAATCAGCTGGACCAAGGATACGTTCTACAGAATCACCGAGAACCGACAACCGATTACAATCAAACCCCACAAGAAAATATACAATATGAAGAAAAGGTTGTACAGCTGGTAGATACATCTTCATGGAATAAAATAACCAAACCAAGACCAGATAACCAAAAATTATTTTCCCATGCCACAAGAAAACGTTTAAAATTGCAACTGTTCCATACAAAAATCAAATCTGCAGATGCAAAGTCACATGCATGGAGATGTTCACAATTGTTTCGCCCTCTAATCTGGTCTATAGTGATCACAGCATTGGTCAGTGGCAGTTGGTGTGGATTTGCGGAGTTCGGCGCACGCATCTATGTCTTTCATGTCGACCTCAACAGCACTAAAGGCGTAAGTTGTACGATTAATTTTTTTGCTGTGACAAAGAAACAAACAATAGTTGTGGTGGAGGAATTTAATAGTTAAACTAAACACCTAAAGTGTAAGTTCAAAGGTGGATACAGGCTGATTGGAATTAGATGCAACAGTTTCATCCCATTGATTTTAGGTTCCATCGACATCGCATCAAATTAATCCATATTTAGGTTTAGCTCCTTGGTATTACAGATTAGTATTTCATTTATGCTCTTTGGAAACACCTTCAATTTTAGAGACTTAATGCGGTAAAAACAACACGCAAAGTGATATGTTGGCAGCAAATCAAACACTCGTTTCTATCTTTCGAAGGATGTTGTTGACTCAAAATCAAAGTGCATATTAATGCGGTATTCAATGCTTAACGGAAAGGTAGGGAATTCACTGACACAGAACTCTGCTTGGAACGCGGAGTTCACATTTAATAAATTAGAGGAGTGAAACATGCTTTTCATTCTTAAGCGTTTCCAAACACTATGATTTTGATAACGGTTAGTTACCACGTTGCGAATGCAAATTCCATTTTCTATTGGGACTTGTAGATAAGTCGATGCTTTTCTATGTAAACTAGATGCTTTTGTAACCAGGGTAATTCAGATCCATTTAACAGTTCTTCGAAGTAAGCTAGCCGGCTTTCTACGATATAAAAGGAAACACACCGTTTCAGTTTTATAGCTGAAGCTGGATCTTTCTATACGAAGCACTTCTTACACCGACAAGCATGTTATTACACAATTCATAGCTTAACTATATAACAATTAATAGCCGTTACCAATCACCGAATTATCGCATATTTATCCTCTTGTGAGGTGGACCTTATCGTATTTGGTTAAGCAATAATGATAACTGGTTACCCGTAGGTGGATAAATCTAAACTTGCAAGGACTATTTTTAATACTAGGTTTCAAATAGGAGTTGCCATGTTGTTACAGTTTTGGACGTTCCGGCGTTTAAATTTTACACGATAATTTAAATTTTACGAACATGATAAATGAGGCATACGAATAAATATCGATGCCCATGAATGATAACTGCTTTTAACCAGGTAATATTCGGTAACATATAAGTGTTATGAACAGTATTACTACGTGCAAAATACGTCGGCTTTGGTTATCAACAAAAGAATGTCTTAAGCAAATATTATCATTAATTACCCGGTATTTCTCTGGTATCTTAAATATGAAGCAATGAAATCAGCAGTGATTATTTGGTCCCGCATTGTCATATGCGTCTGCAGCTAAAGTACAAGCTACGGAATATGCATTTACCTATTGGGAATCTTCGGCAATTACGAGCGTTTCATGTCAGTTTGTATAGGTGTATACACACCGACGAAACCGGATGTCGCCAACTATATATATATATATATATATATATATATATATATATATATATGTATACCGAGAGTTGCTCGGTTCAGGAGGGGACGAGGTGCACGGTCCTTGTGGCCATGCTAGGCTCCAAGAGCGGTTCCATGCAATCAGTGTGGAGCGGACTGCGGTCCAGCCACCGCCCTGTGTGCGCTTGTTTCCCCAAATACAGCGTGCTTGTGTTCGGCCGTGAAGGAGTGTGGGCCGGCTCTGTTGATGTAACCTGGCTACCATCCACCTGCCTCCCGGCCTTATTCCTTCGGGTTTACACTGGATATGTGGTGTGTGCTTAGAGCTGTGGGTGGTGCAGCGCAAGCCACCCATGGTCCCTCTGTAGGCGCAGGCATCCTGTGCCTGGCCACAGTGACAGGCAAATCCGAAACCGGACGCCGCCAACCATGTAGGTATGTTTGAAGCTTCTTCACCACAGTTGGGCTAAGCCAACTTACACTTAAATTTGGTCCTTTAATCTGGATAAATTACATTCCACTTTATTTGGTTTGTTCTGCCTACCTGAATAATCTTATATTAACTTGCACTGGTTGCTTACGCTAACTGCGCTTATCTTCGGTAACTATTGCGTTTGTAACACTTTTAAGTAAATTATAGACAATTTTTACTTATCGCGGATTCGTTGCAAACCAACATAATTCATATGCTGATTTTGCGAAGAGTTATGCTACCGCAACTTTATGCATTTTTGGATTTATATTATTTCATCTTGTCGTTTCAAATGATTGGTTATTGCTTGAAATCCCCGGTGCGGTTGCGCTTGATGTGCATGATGACAAGGTGCCTACCTGTATATTACCCACTACCTGGTTCATACTGGCTCTAGGAGACAGTTGGTTTTTGCTCGTGGGGACGGGGTGCACGTTCCTTGTGGCCGTGCTAGGCTCGAAGAGTGGTTCCATGCACTCAGTGTGGAACGGACTACGGTCCAGCCACCGCCTTGTGTGCGGTTGATTCCCCAAATACAGCGTGCTTATGTTCGACTGTGAAGGAGTGTGGGCCGGCTCCGTTGATGAAACCTGGCTACCATCCACCTGCCTCCCGGTCTTAATCCTTAGGGTTTACACTGGATATGTGGTGTGCGCATGCAACTGTGGATGTTGCAGCGCAAGCCAATCATGGTCCCTCAACAGGCACAGGCTTTCTGTGGCTGGCAACAGTGACAGGCAAATCCGAAACTAGATGCCACCTACACACATACACATCCACAAATTGGTATGAACCGTTGGCAAAAGTTGACAAAAACCAGCGGATGCCAATATTTCGTAATACCAGTTTTCCTCTTCTTACCGTGCTTTTCAAATTTCTTATTGTCTCTTCAGTGCCAACGCAATAACATGCAAATATGTGCGACGACTGGTAGAGTGAAACCGGAACAAATTAGAACAGGGTAGGGGGCATGCGCTACACGCCCTACGCCCAAGGCAGCCATAGGCTAAAACATCTGTTACTGCACACAGAGTGCGGGTTTGATACGGCTGATCGCCACTGCCTCCGCGAAACGTAGGAAACGGGCGTTAGCGTGTTTTAATACGATTGTAAACATTTTGGCCGGATCAAACAGGTAACAGGTGGCCAGTAAATGCCTACCTATGGATGAAGAAGGTGGTTTACGTGAACAGATGGTATGAGCAACCTACGACTGGGTGATTCGACGCTGCAACCGTTTAGGTACATGTTCCCTTATTCTGAAGTTCAGCGATCTATTGGTACGGCTGATGTAGTGTATACCGCAACTAAAGCAACGGTAAATACAATGTGAATTGGCGCCAATAGGTTGTGTTTCCATCAGTGGGGTAACAAGTATTCAATTAATCCGGTTAATAAGAACAATTTCGACAGCATAATAAGTCCTCTGGACAGCAGAATTTATGCGCTTCGTTGTTCACATAATGGCAAATCTTCCTTAAATGTTATCTCGATGTAGATCTTTTAGACACTGTCGAAACCTTCTGTTCCGGCACCCTCGCCCGACTATGTTTGTTGGTGAATCTACTTGGACAGCCGGTTTTCAACAGCGTATCTTTGAGCAAGTTTATCTCATCATCTAAACCGTCGGTAATGCATACTTTCCTTGCACGGTTGAATAGCGTCTTGACTAAGGTCCGCTTGTACCGCATTGGTGAGAAGCTTGTAAAGTGCAGGTACTGCCCTGACGAAGTCGGTTTTCGGTAAACCTCGCTTTTGATGGACTCATCTACTCTTCGGCAAATCAACACCTCCAGACATTGGAGGCAGTTGCTATTCTCTGTTTCGCTGGCTACTTTCAGATTCGTATGCACGTTATTCAGGTGATCGACTAGACGCGCAATGTGCTGATCTGATGAGTTAAAGACTAAAATATCATCCACCCACCGTTTATAGTAGGAAAGAAGCGATATTTCTACACTCAACTTCATTTCAATCATCGATATGAAAAAATCTGCTAGCACTGTGCCCAACGGACTACCCATTGCCACCCCATCTATCTGGCGATAGGGAATGTTTTGGAATCGGAAACCGATGTTCTCAGTGCATAGTAGTTAGCTGTCTTTTAATAATTCGACTGGCTTTGGAAGAGATAAATCGGAGCACTTTGCCATTTCGCACACATACTCAAATGTTTCATGTAGCGGAACATGGGTGGAAAGAGAGTGTATATCCAATGTGGACACGAATATATCTTATAGGTTGTACTCATATAAAGACTCTGTAAGCTCGAACGAGTCGTTCAGACGGCGTGAGATAGTCTGCTGCTATAACGGCGGAGGAACTTCCAACAGCTAGCGATCAAGGTCATTCAAGGTCATCCTCACACACGCTTGACTTGCGTGCACCTGGTTCATTTGGATTATTTCCTTCTATCCTCTCTCCATCTTCTCGCAGCGTTGTCACTGTACGCTCATTAGAACCGGATTTACCAGCCCTACACAGTGATCTATCATACGTGGAAATATCTTCTACGATTGGAGGTTGTGCCATCACTAACCGTTTTCACTGGCATCTGCGATTAAGCGCAAGCGTTTAATTCAATTGTATTGAGCCGATTGCCTTTCTGTGTGACACCACTCGATACAGAATTCTCGAGGCAGGCCGAAAAGCCTAAGCTTGCTCCGATCCAGTGTTTCGCAACACAGCAGTGAAGGAATCTGTGTTCAGCGCTCTGTTCAGGTTCCAGTCACTCGCCATTCCTTGTGACCTTGTCAGCCAGCGCGGCTGCATAACCCATCACACGAACGGCGCAACCAAGCCGAGCGCTCATTTGACCTTGCAACCACCACGCTCGCCTGACCGATGTGCGCCGCTCTCAAAGCTGGAAAAGTACAGAACGCTAACCAACTCACTGGGTCAGGTAACGACACCAAATTGAATGGCAGAAAGGCGAAACCGAAGAGACTCCCATCGAAAGGCATTTGTGGGTTAGGAGAATGTCATCAGGTAGTAAAAGTCGGTCTGGCTTGTTCGCACTGTTTGGAATGGTACCATACGAAATATGCAAATGTGTCCCAACAACAGTTACGGGAGCGAAATAGCTCCCAAGATGCCTTTTGGTTCTGTACTGCGTGTTTCACCATCCCCTAGTTAAGTGCTTGCTTATCCTAGCTGCGAAATGCG